CGAAAAACAAAAGAAATCGAACCTCTTAACTTTTAGAAAGAAAGTTTATTTTCATGTGCAGAATATATACATTTATAATAGTGCTATTTCTCTTTTATTTTTCCCTCTTTGTTGTGTTTTAATTTGTTGGCGTGCTAATTTTTTATATTTTTATTGTTATAAATTGTTCTGATGTGTTGTTTTTCTGCTTTTTTTGTTTATTATAGCATTTATGATGTCATTTAATTTGATGTTGTTCCTGCCTTTTTCTATATAAATGTTATGTTAGAGCGTGTCTCCATCAAAACCGGATACTGACACTGGCTCGCCCCTTGTGTGTGATTTAATTCTTTGCAAACATCATCCTGAACTTTTTCTTTAATTACACACATTTAGGGTTAAAATGGCCAATATTTGGATAGGTGGACACACGCCGTTATTTGTTAATTTTTGTTGTTGTTTATGTGCTGTTCTAATTTTGATTTTATTCTGTTGTGAAACCTTTATTTTTCACATTTTTACCTCTGTGTAGCTATAAATGATATTCTGGATGCTTAAAACTGAGCACAAGAAATTGTGGTGCTGTAGATTAAGTTACCTCTTTCAACATATTGTTATATACGTCATCACAGTTGAAAGCTTGAAAATTAATGGCAACTTTTGGACAAAAAAATGGCAACAAACGCAGATGCTAGGTTTTTCTTCAGTGAGGGGTCTTGATATATTTTTGAATTTTTTTTGGTACACATTTTGATGTTTTGAGTGTTGTAGTTAAAAATGTTGTGCCATGCATGTTGTTGCCTGCCTTTTTAAGTTTCAGGTGAAGAAAAAAAAGAATGGAAAAATCTGTACAAATTTATAACTGTAACGGAGTTATGATGCTCTTTTTTAAAACTGATCTAAAATCAATATTACCATTATATTATGTTGAATGACCAGAATATATGTCCCCAATGAGTTAAGACACTTTTACCTGGCATGACACAGTGAGCAAAGAAAGTTTGTTTTTCTTCTTCCTAGCAGGAATATATATGAAGTCAAAGGTTTTCAAAGTGTTCTGGCGACTTTTTAGTAGTTCCTGGGGGTATGGGGGAGGGGGCGCTATATATTCACTAAGTCCATGCCAATCCAGGATGTGTTATCAAACGTTGAATCATCATTTATTGATTCATGTCTTGTGTAGTCCGTGCATATTTTCTATCACCATTTATTTGTTTCAAATTATTCATAATCCTTGTTCATTTAGATCTGTGTTTTTATGTAATATTAATGAGTGTCATGATCACATTTGATGAAATATAAGCAAAATAATAGCCCTCAAAATGAGCACACCGATGGGTCCAGGGCCAGACAAAAAATTTGCCTTGCACGGATGTGGAATTGACCCTGGCATGGAATGAATGAAAAGCTTTCATATGGCCCTCGTTTGGTATTTGTTGGTCCACCTAATGCACTATTCAGTTTTACTGCCCTGATAATGTTATCAAGACTTGTTCCCTCTTCTGCCTATTTCTAACTCAGAGAACTGTCTGAGTTAGCAAAACTCTTCCTGTTTTGAATCTTGAAGTTGGTCAGTAATATGTTATAAAGAGCTTCATAAATTTGTCTCCTGTAGTGTATGTAGTTCAGGTTTTTTGTGTTTTTTTCCTTAAAGGGGGGGGGGGGGGGGGCTACACCTGGAGGCTATCTCGCTTATTACTGGACCGAATTTTTCCAAATTTCACACATATAACAAGCATAGTAAGGAGTCGTAAAATCCACAATCAAATTTGAGAAAAAAGTTTCGTTTCCATGGATACGCCGCCATATTGGATTTTATTGACATGTCTTACGTAATGAATACTGCACTTATCGCTCGTGGAAATTGATTGTTTTTTTGCATGCGTGTTCACAAACATTAGATCTAAAAATTTGTATGTTGTTTTTTTCCTAATCGAATTAGAAAATTTTTTATGAATTTTTTCCTGAGGTAGCATTAAAGTTTGCGAAAAATCCGTGAAAATCCACACTCCAGACACCACCAACAAAAATCTATTCCATATATCAAAAATTCAACAGACAAATTTTTAGTATTACCTCTTTTCTTCATTCTGTGAAAATTTCATGAAGATTGGATGAAAAATGGAGAAAAGTCGCATTTTGAGAAAACGGCCGATAAAGAAAAATAAAGTACTGACATTATGAGGAAATGGCGGTTACAAACATGCCCGGTATGGGAAAAAATATGGTTTATGGGGGTTCTTATGCCATGAAATAGTTGTAGGAGAAGCTGAGGAAGCTAAAAATGCCTACAACTCAAATTCCATGATTTTGAGCCGAATTTTGATTTTGGGAATTTAAAGGTCTCTGCAAACCAAGTAATTCTCTTTGCTGAAGTTCTCTGTAGATAGATATAAATGTCCTAACCAGTCACACTGAAAATGTCTTTGATTTGTCTTCACAGATGGGCAGGTCTCATGGGTATACAACAGCTCCCTCTTGCAAGTTAAGCTAGCCCAAACGGGTGAGATATTGTCGACGTGGCGGTGTGGAAAAACTGTACGAGATCCTCACTCCTCGATAGTTTGTGTGACGGACCTCTGTCACAAGGATGGTCATCTTTTGCTTGTGGCCACAACTAGTCTGTCTGACCAAGGATTGTTGTGCTTTTTCAGTGTGAAACAAAAGAAGGTGATCAAGGCTATTGAGATTCCTCAAAAGGTAAGTCAGGGATTCTGATCGTTTTTGAAAGTATCTCCATGCTTTAAATTGTGGACTGGGGTGTCTGTGGACTGCCTTCCCAACCTGAGAAGAGGCCATTCTTGTTGAGGATAGGAGGGTACAAGGGGTTTTTAATGAGACTGGAAAGACCTAACTGCCCTGTGACAGGGTAATTCCGGTAGGATTCACGTTGCCCGTTCCCCGCCACCAATGGCTACTGGCTAAAGTTTTCTACTCTTTCATGAGGTATCGGCCAAGTGGGAAAGCCATTGGATCGTCACGTCCTGGGTCGTTGTGCGTTTACTAAGAGGTCCACGGCCAGAGGGCAAATCGGGCATTCCGCTCGATCCATCCCCAGCACCCAGACACTCTCAAACTGGCAGGTACCTTCTCAGCCTCAGAGGATGTGTTGATAAAAAGCAGTAGAGGTGTCAGCCAGATTAGACATCTACTCAAGGGAGAGTAGGGGTGTGTTAGTGAGGAGCATAGCGTCTACCATGCATCAGTGGGTTTTGCCTCCTGAACCTTGTGGGGCCACACCTGCTCCCATCCTGTTGTTTTAACCCCTCTAGAAAATGGGGCGGTTGGTTTGTTGGCGCCAACAACTCGCCATTCGCCTGAGCCATGTCAGTGAGGACAGGGACCACCACGTGCAAGTATGGTTGGCTGGATTGGGAGAAGCTGTTTGAGACGCTTAGGCATTTCTCAATATTTTAATGAGACCTATCACCAGTCCTTGAACCCCCATGCTTTAAAAGAAGGGTGATTATGGGGGGGGAGGGAGGGGGGGAGAACCACCACTGCTTGGCTTTGTCATTGTGTTGTAGCTTGGTGTATTTGATTTATTTAATTGTTTAAATTGTTTGAATTTTGTCCATAAAATAGTTTGTACTTTTTGGATGATGTCAGATGTAGCGCGTGCAATCATACACTTTTTCCCTGTTGAAACAAAATTGAAGGATTTGAAGCGTTCAACTGAATCTGAGTTTGAAAGGAGGGTAGTTGGAGTTCAATAGAAATGTTTTTGGCTGTCCGATATCATTATGTGGGGAGGGTCTGCATTTTGGCTCACATGTTTTATTATATCAATACCTTTTTGAGAGATGTCAATGGATATATTTCAGATCACAGCTGTAGAGGTGGTTTTCTCGAATGGTGATGAGGATCCTCAGAGATGGGTACTCAGTCAACATCTCCTGTTCTTCTCAGGCCTAGTGGCGATTGGAACTGAGGGAGGGTACATTTATTTAGTTGGTGAGTCTTATAGCAAAGATCATGTCTATGGCTCGACTGTTTTACTGTTTTCAATTTTTAAAGATTTGACTTCTTTATTGATGTATGTTCTTTTGTGTCCTTGCTTCTCAGAGCTGAGTAGTCCGTCTTAAGACATCAACATTCTTATGTCTGTAGAAATTTATATTTCTGGAAGAGGGTTTTCTGTTTTTATCTGTTGCCATCTATAATTGTTTGGGGCCTCTGTAGTGTGGTCTTCTCTTTCTCCGCCTTTATGCTGACTTGGCATAGACCATGTCATGACCAATAATGTTCAACTCTTTGAATGAAACAACAACAGAACCGAACCGGATACTCATTCTACTAAGTGTTGTCAAGTTAACTCACTTGAGCTGGTTCCCATGATTTTTACACGTGACGTGCTGCCAGTGAGGTGGCCGAATCCCGTGTATTAACGGGATGCTCTTTGTAGGTCGATATCTCCGGCATTTTTTGGTTACAAGCTACAGGGTTACAAGCTACAGGAAGACGTGGGCCAACAGTTGATCCCACAGTTTTTTTGTTCATGTACTTGACTCCTACTGGGACTTGATTTCATGCTTCCTCACCAAACTCAACGTACACAAGTTAGATTAAACTGCTTGTATGTTGTTCCTGAGTTACTCAGAGAATGTTCTTTTACACATGGAAGAAGTTATGATATGAACTCTTGGTATTGCTTATTCCATGCGGGACAAATATTTTTTGTTAGTTGTCTTTTTACAAATTGGGTGCGAAAAAAATTGTATAACCCCACAAACATTGCCATTTCAAAATATTGATTAAATAAATGGGACAAATATAGATGCAGTTTTCTTTTTCTGTGAGCTTTTCTTTCCTTCTTTTGTTGCATTTAAAAAAAATCACAATGGCTTTCAGTTTTTTCCGTTGTGGTTAATAATTCAATATACTCCAAAACTGTCAGGCTGCAATGTTTGTTGGGTGCAAAATAGGTCAGGCTCAGGTCAGTTAAACTTCACAGCTTTGATTTTAGAAGCCACAATGAAGTCTAAATTATTAAATAGAGATGTGTATGTGTTTAGTGAGGTTTAAGATTGTAGTTTGTTGTAGTGAAGGTGCTGCTTTATTTCTTTTTTTGAGAGTCTACTCTTGTGTAGAAGAATTACTCTTGTGTAGAAGAATATATACTGTTGTTTTCATCAAGCATGCATTTTACATTAAACAAAAATTTCTCAGATTTTGTTCATTTATATCCAGTGAACAGCTTTGTTTCAGTTCAGTTTAACCAATCTCTTTACACTTTCAGATTTAGGCCTTGATGAACTGTTGATGAGTCAGTGCAATGAAATAAGCCCCAAAAAACTGAGCGTGATTACCCCAAGGATTGTTGATCCTCGGGCGAAGAGAGACCAGGCCAGGATGTACGATAAACACTTAGCGCTTTTGCTGGATGGTGAGATCATTTTGTTTTGCGGAGTTTTGTGTTTACCTGTCTGAAATGTGTTTGTGTTTATTCTCCTTGCAGAAATGTTAGGAAGAAAAAGATGTACCCAGGTACTCCTGTTTTAGAAGAGATTAATGTGTGGGGAGGGATGAAACTTTGGATGCCAGTATGTTTGACAGAGGACATCTTGTATGTGTAATTATGAACTTGTCTGCTTCTAAAGCCCACCACTCGCTATGCTGTTAAAAGGGTGAGCCCGTCTTGAGATGGTCTCAAGACCAACTGAACGCGACCTCAAGATGGTCTGAGACAATCTTGAGGCCAAAATCCAAACTGTGCAGTTGAAAATCTGAACAAACCGTGAGATTGCTTGAATTCAAAACAAGCCTGAAAATTATGTTGTATCGCACATCGGGGTACTTAATGCTAAAAAATAAAAGGTGCCAAAGTCAAAATTTTGCAAATCTGACTTTATCAGCTTCAAATTTAGTGGGATTTGATACGAAACACTGCTATATAACGTTTAGTGTAGTAATGTTAATTACACCTGCATGTTTGCCGACAATCGTCTGAAATCCGACAATCGCGACCCGGCCCGCGAGCCGGCCGGTGCTATCACTAGGCCCACCTGTATCAGTCAATGTGCGAAGTGCGAGGCCTGGCTGACTGCCAGCGCCCCCTTTTTCTCCCGTCGGCTTTGTCGGTACTTCCGTTTTCGTGCCGACTGCCGACGTCGGCGTTTCCGACATAATTGTCGGAACCTGAGTAGAAATACGAATACGAAAAGTACAACGACCTAAATTATCTAGCCTACTCTCAGTTTCGTGCTCGAGCGGCCATTTTGAATTTCGTTTGTTGACTGATTGTTCAGATCTTGTGGATTCATTCAAGTTCGACTCACTTGTTCCACTCTAGATCTAGATCTAGATTTATAGATCATTATAGACCTCAATGGAGGATTCATATTCCAATTCTATTATAGGTTGTGCTGTAATATTATAATATTAATGTTGGTAAAACGCATTTCATCAGGTGCGTGAATTATTTACTTCTCAGAATCTAGATTAGAATTCTAGATCTAGACAGCTGAGTCCCTCTGTTCGGAATCGGATGCGGATTTCTCGTTTAAGGCCTATTCCTATTCACTTGTTCTAAAACTAGATCTAGATTTCTAGATCTAAATTTATTCAGATTACTAGATCTATTTAACTGTATGGAGGATTCATATTCCAATTCTATTGTATTATTGTATCAAACCCTATATGTAATGAAGGCCATATATTATGCTCCTTGTTTGTTTTGGAGTGTGCTTTTTTTGTGTGACTTTTGCTGGCCTTTTTACATGAGGGCTGTAGCAGGTTCTTTTTGGGGGTAGAGTTTGGGTTAGGGTTAGGTCTCTTTTATTATATTTGTTGGGATGGTCGCTCGTTACTCGAATCGGAAGTCCTTCCTTTTATGACACCCACAAATTTAAAAGCTCTTATAAGTTATTGGGGGGAGGGGGGTGCGTGAAATTTTCAGACAATCTGGTTGAGGCTCACATGCAGGTCTAGTTAATAAATTATTACTTGTGTGAGCCAGCTAGCTACAGAGCACAGGCACATGCAACCTCTATTCATCCACCTTGAAGACACAGTCTTGAATCTACATGTATCTAAGCCAAGTGCATACCAAATTCAAATAGTGAAAAAAAAGTAAACAAAACTCACAAAAATTAATTTAACTTGGTAATCGGGCGTTAAATTGCGCTCCCCGCATTCTTTAAGGCTAATTTTGGGTCGCTGGTCATGAAAATCTTATTATTTCTTAAATTTGTCCAATATTTAAGACATTTTTGGAATGCATTTTCATTTTAAACTCCGCCTAGGCCAACACCAAAGAGGCCGCTTTATGCGCCGGAGCAGTCCTGTCCTGGTGCGGTGTCTGTTTTGAAGCGAAAAACTCGACTGTGGGGCAGGACAGCCCTAGGCCTATCCCACGACAGGACTGTACTAGTGCGGTAGAGATTTAAATTCTTGCCTCGATTCTCAGAGTCTATACTAGGCTAGGAACCAGGCTAAAGAAAAGTAGACAGGAGGCATTGACCCTGGGCGGACTCGAAGCTTTGAATCTGTGAACAAGATCGATTCTTTGAGTCCTCATTTGGACTTGAAAGAATCGATCCCAGAATCAATCTTGCCATGGCCTACTTTTTAGCCGGGCCAGTCATCAAGACCTATCAGTAAAACTTTCAATCGTGCGTTCACATCATGAGACATGACTTCAATGTTTGAGTCGGGGACCGTCCGTGGACAGGGTCAACTTTTCATGCTTACTGGTTGAAGCTGAGGTGTCTTTCAGGACTTATAAGGGGGAGGTTAGACACTTTGACTAGGAGTGCTTGATGTGATACTTCAGGGTTTAAAAAAGTAATGATGTCTCTCTCTCTCTCTCTCTCTTTCCCTCTCTCTCTCCCTCTCTCTCTCCCTCTCC